TTCTAATAATATTACCAAGGGGCAACATGTATATTGAAAATAGCAGAGGACCTAGGACAGATCCTTGTGGCACTCCATATTTTACTGGTGATAATTGAGATGACTCCCCATTTAAATAAACAAAGTGGTAGCGATCGGACAGGTAGGATTTAAACCATCTTAAAACCTGCGCTTGAATACCTGTATAGTTTTGTAATCGATCTATGAATATGTCATGATCTATAGTGTCGAACGCAGCACTAAGATCAAGTAAAACTAGCAATGAGATGCAGCCGTGGTCTGACGCAAGAAGCAAGTAATTTGTAATTTTAACAAGTGCAGTTTCTGTGCTATGGTGGGGCCTGAAACCTTCATAGATATATATTTTTTTTGCAGGAAGGAGCACAATTGAGCAGACACAACTATCAACTTTTTTGATAGTGCCCTGGGAAGTGAACAGTGTTTGGCCCTTTAAAGGGAGATTCTAGTTCTCTAGTTGCAGAGAACAAGTGTAGACCAATATATAACTTACAGAGAGTGATTAGGGCAAATTACCCACAAGTCATTGCGCACCACCTTAGTACTTAATGAAGTCTGACTAAAATAAACATCATTCTAGGTTTTTATCTAACTTATTTGATTTTTGCACAATTTTCCATAGGTATGAGGTTTTAAGTATTAATCATATTAATTTAAATATTATATTTTTTGTGTTTGTGTATATACACAGTCAGACACATACATTATTATGAATTAATATAATAAACAAATGTATATATTAATAAGAAAAAAAATACTGCTAGACTGCTTCACTGATCTTTTTTTAAGAAATTATAACAGACCATATAAATTAAGACTTTTTATAAAACATTTTCTTCATTACATTATCTTTTAATTTTTACTTTATACCCTGTAAAACATACCAAATTAATTATAATTCAAAAACATGCATATCATAAAAAATAAATTTTCTGAATGAATGTCATGTATATAAATGTGTCTATATATAGTTTTGGGTCAGGAGAATTATCATTATTACTATTATTATTATTATTATTATTATTATTATTATTTAAGCAATACTTTTATTCAGAATGGACACATTAAACTGATTCAAAGTGACAGTAAATGCATTTATAATGTTACAAAAAATTATATTTCAAATAAATAATAAGAAGATATAAGATAATAACTGATTATTGAGCACCAAACAACAATGATTTCTGAAGGAACATGTGACACAGACTGCGATAATGGCTGCTGAAAATTCATCTTTGCCATCACAGAAATAATTTACTTTTTAAAATACGTTAAAATACAAAACAGCTATTTTAAATTAAAACAATATTTCTAAATATAACTGTTTTACTGTATTTTTGATTAAATTAATGCAGCCTTTTCATAAACATTAAATAAATCTTACCGACCCCAAAACTTTTGAACGTTAGTGTATGTGTATATAATCAGAACACAGTCTTCTTTCGTTATCTATTAGAGTTGAGCTGCATGTAGCATTTGCAGCTTTTGCAGGGGTGACGGCAGCCAAATGTTTCGGGGCATGTGTGAAGCTACGTCTCGTTATCAAACTAAAAACTATACCCCCCACCAGCCCCCCAAACTTTCTAATTAGTCCATTAGCGCTAATATACTTAACACAAGAAGCAATTTACCATGCCTGGCAGGATCTGCAACCTGCTAACCTCATCGCTAATATCGTTTGATACTTCATTATAGTCTGTTAATATCAGCTCTCCTCAACTCTTGACTTCTAACAAGACGCCCGTCATTCAAACCCTATACCACTCTGTTTCACCACTGCAGGCATTTTCCTCCACACCCACACAGTCTTAGTCTCTCAAGGTTAGCAGGTTAAACTACAGGTCTGGAGTCAGTGTGGGACCAGATAATAGCCACTAGCAGCTCTTCTATAAATCTGAGACTTTTATATGGTGCTTGTTTTTGGTCAAATATTTGATGCTCATTTATCTGTCTGGATTTATTGATTTATTCAAAAGTACATTTATTTAAAAATGCCTTTCATTCAGACAATTACTTGAATATGCCTTTTTGAGATGAGCATGTTTTAAATTTCTGAATTAAAATGTATTCTGTATGTTTTGAAGGACATCAGGTAAAAATCTAAGGATAGTAATGAAGAAAAAGTGCCATGAAAAGGCTGAAATTTATATGATCTTTGTATTATAATTTCTTAAAGAGTGATCAGTGAAGCATGTTTGTTAATATTCTTAATATTTAAAAAGGTATAATATAACCCCCAAATTTTTGGAGTCAAAATATTTATTGAAAAAAAAAAAAAAAAAACACGTACATAAGTATTCACAGCCTTTGCTCAATGCTTTGAAGTAGGGTTGGGTACCGAAACCCGGTACCAATATGGCACCGGTACCAACAGGGCCTTTCGCACCGCTTTAGTTCCAGAACTAAATGTACAGTACTAAAGTACTGGGACGATTTTGCGCGAACTATTTCCCAGT